TCTGTCGTTACGATGAACTTATTTATTAATTATTATCCTCACCCAGACACCCCTATATTGTATGGCAAATTTATGCATGGTTAACTACATGGTGGTGAATTAAAAGATCAGCTGTTGAGGAGCTTAGGGTATCACTGGTGCATGTTATATCTTTTACACCCTTCTCTCTAATCATACCACTTTCAGGCTTTCACTCCACATTTTAAATGTAACATAATGTTGAAGGGGTATATTGATAAGTGTAAGTATAAAAAATACTGTATCTTAGCTTTCATGTTTATCCAAGACATCTTCAGGTCCTGAAACCTACTAATCCCCCACCCAACAGTGGGTGACCTGATATTGTATCAGGTCAGTAATATGAGACCACCAATACCCCACCCTACCACCTGACATTGTGTCAGGTCAGTTACATGAGATCCACTAATCCCCCACAGCTCCAAGAGAGTGGAAAATACCAGTCTTTGCTCTAACACACAGCTTCATTCACGACCATATCATACAGATTTTTAGTTTACTCTTGGAAAACTCCCCAGCACACAGAAACATAATGAGGAGGTGGGCTAGTGTTTGTCTGTGCAAGATGCATAGTTTAGACTCTCGGAACGGTTTTCCAGTAACAGGAAATATTTCCAGGATGGGATTTTCCGGGTTTGAGAAAGTCGTCCGGTTAGCCGAAAATCTCTTCGGAAGTATTCTGCAATTGTTCCAGCTAATGTGGATATCAGTGCTGTGTAGAACTGTATGTCATCAAACACAGGAAGATTGTTCACATCCTCTCTTGTGAACACCAAGGAAAAGAAACGCTAATGCCTCAGCTTTATCCTGGTCAGAATCTGCATAACTAACATCTTCAAGACTCAGGTCCATCTCCTACTTGCATTTTTAATTTCAACTTGTATAATCAGTAAATGCCTTTGGTTTGACTTGACCTCGCTATAAATCTAACCTCTGAACTCCTTTTTTCAGCCCTTCTTCCTTCTGACTCTGCTTGGTTCCTGGTTCTTGCATACATCCTCCTGTCTCTGCTGTCATATGACCTAACCCACGCCTGAATTTCTGAATTTTCTTCTTTTGTCAACCGCCACATGGTTCCGTGTAGATCCCTTGTATTCCTAGAGGCACTGGGTTTGGTCTTGCATATATTTATCAATCAAATGGGTCACTTTACTAGTTATGATATTCAGCGAGTGTCTGCATTCGTGCCTTAATGAGTCAGGGCCAGCTGATACCTCATCTCTTCCCTCATCCCATTGTAATTTCTGTAATATTTGCACCTTGGCTCACCATCTTTTGAACTAGGTAATAGTCAAATCTGGAATGACAACACTATATGGTGACTGGTGCTAACCTCGGGCAAGGTGTTCCAGTTTGGCCACCATACCTCCTCGCTTGTTGCGATGAGGACTAGTGGCTGGGTGTTTGCTGTCTCTGTAATGTGTCATGTCTCTATCATTTTGGGTAAACAGAAAATTATCTCTCAGAGTTTCTACAAACGAGTAGCAGGGTTATTCTGTCATCAGTAAACTCAAGCTTTCTCCAGTCAATGTCGCCATAGTTAAAGTCCCCATGATATGAAGTGGCTAGGCTGAGCATTGCCGCATTGTCTATTAAGGCTCTTAAGTCTTTTGATTTAGTGGGCCACAGTTTGGGATCAGATATACCCACTTATATAAGTCCACTCTTTTAATTTAATTTAAACCAATTCGACTCTTAAAAATCATCCTCTCCCTGTACCTCGCCTGGCTGACTGTAAGGTCTTGCCTAACATATAACCACACCCTCTTGCAAGTTTCTTGAGAAAGGTTCGTAATGAGTCATATCCAGTAATACTGAACTCACATTCCTCTGGATCGATTCTCCTGCTCTGTACAACAGTCTGAACACTCCTACAATATCTGGTTGGTGTACCTTCAGTAGTGTTTCTTCAAACCTCTTATCACATGAACGGTCAGTATTAGGTGTACAGACATTCAAGCCAGAATTTGTCCTCGGTAACGTCTCTGCTCTTAGTAGTAACTCCACCCCCCACATTCTCAGAACCTGCAGCATTTTCCAAGCACTGTACACTGTATTTTGCAGGGTGAGGTTAGGAAATGTCATTGGTTTACACGGCGCCGCCTCCTGTCTGGTAGGCGGAGCTGGTGCCTCCCTCCCGTGGTGGGGGTAGAGCGGTGGAGGGCAGCGCCATGCCCCCTGGCCCTGTGTCACACACACTTGCTTCCATTACCCCTCTCCTTGAATATAACCCATGTACACCCGGGGTCCCCATTCTCCTTGACTACTCCTCTTCTGCTTCAGTCCTGCAGGAGCTTTGTGTTGTTCCTCTGCATTACCATGCGATCTGGGTGAATGAATACACTCCGAGATGCCTCGCCTCGCTAAGTTTTTTGCTCCGCCGAATAACCTCCCATTTCTCCCCTTCTACCATTAGTGTGATCCTGAGGGACGAGGCCATCTCCCCCGCTGTCCCAGCCTCCTCACATTCTGTGGGGTTGATGGCATCTTCAAACCTCTGTACAAATACCCAACTGCATCTTATCGTGTTACCTTACTCTCAGTTCCTCCGCCTGACTCTCAGGACTACATAAACTATGACATTGTTCCTGCACTGAAATAAAAATTCCTGTTATTTCTCCTCTACCCTAACAACATTAGGTCCGTTAATTTTCATTTCCTTCGACATTAATTTCTTCAGTCCCCAGCTGCTGTAGAACCTGTTCTGATCCTGCATTACTCAGCATAACTCCTTCTAGCAACTACTCATTCTATCGGTTACGCCCTCGTCTTATAAAGAATCTTTTTCCCAACTTGCTGTAGTTTGGCAACCAGTAAGTGCCCATTTCATCTATTTTTCGTCCCTTAGAACTCGTTCTATGGCTTGCAATCGCCTCTTTCACCTTGATTATGCAATCAGGGCAATACCAGCAACAGCCTCCATGCTTTACGGCAGTTAGCCTCTTCTCAGCTGTGACACACAGTTCCATTCAATTATCGCAGCCCAGCAATACCTCCATTTGATGGATTGTATCATATCGATATTTTTTTCTTATATATATTTACTTAAATTTTTTTTAGATAAACTGTTCAGAAATATTTTGGTAGTGTTTCTAACTTAATTAGAGCAGATTTTATAGACTCCAATAAAGCATTTCATACGTTTTTTTATCATAAAAGAATAGAGTCCGCATCATTATATCATGTCAAAATATTTTGTTAAATGATCTTTTATTGAAACAAACTTGTAGAGAATTTGTTTAGGATCATTATGGTACCAAATTAATCTTTCTAACACAATTAGAAGAGATGCCGTGGATAGAAGTAAATACACTTTCACTAGCAGTAAATATTTTCGTTCGTGTTTGTGTCCTAATGTAATGGGAGAGTGACAAGAGAATTGTACAAAGTAGAGGAGTGTTCCATATGGCATACATTATTACTGCACTATAATACACTATTATACCTGTGGAAAAAAAAAAAAGCACATTGAACATGTTAATAATAAAGTACTGTACAGTAATATCTCAGTTTACGCGGTTCTCGTTTATGCATTTCCACATTTACGCGGTACCCGCAGAACCAGAATGCCCACTTTACGTGCACCTACTCATATCACAGGAAGCGGAGAGGCAGGATGCGACAAGGTCGCCAATCATCAAACATTACCGAAGTTCTTCACCCACCACCCACCACAGCCCAAGTCAGTGATATGAGGATATGGACTTATATGGACTTTGAGGGTTTTGACAAAGAGGCCCTGCAAGCCTCTGTGGGGATAGTGATACAATTGATACAAGTGATACAGGTGAGGCCAATAATCTGCCCTCTGCCTTGGAACCAATCCCCTATCCCGTGTGCCCAGCCATCTTTTCTACTAATGTAAGTGTTAAAAGACCTAATATTATTGATATTTCTTAATTATTAATTGTGTGTGCATACCATCATAAAATTAAGATGTTATTTTTACTACAATGTAGGTATTGCGTCTGAAAAAGTGGGGTTTGGGAATCGGCCCAGTCTCTATTTCAATTAATCCCATATGTTCTGTTATTCCATTTACGCGTTTCTCATTTCTGGCGCTACTCCGCGGGTTCAATTGACCGCGTAAATTGGGGTATTACTGTATATATTAATCATTCACTTATCATCAGGCCACCGAGTCTTAAGGTGAAGAGGTGATTGTATGACACTCTAATGTATGCCACCGAAGGTGGAGTGGAGGTTATGTTTTCACTACTAATTTCATTGACTATGTGTACTGTACTGTACTGTACTATACATATTTACATTTCTTAGACACTTCACTTTAGTGCTCCTCATCAACCACCTCCACTGTCTCATCAAAGGCAGCTGACTGGGTTACTTTCCTGTGCCACCACAGTGACAACCCCGCTAACATAAACATTCCCCTGTACTAACTGGATTTTTGTTGCATTTTTCCAGGTTGGGGATTCTGGGTTGGGGATACATGTGTTTGGTGCTGGACCCCAATCTGGTTTGCAAGGGGATCCAGATTAAGCGAGTTTAGGTTAGAGGGAGTTTACTGCTGTATTTGTACAGTAGTGTTTGCATAAATAAATATTGCTTTGTGTCTGTCTGACTGCAGTTAAGCCTCCACAGCAACAGTGCTCTAAGCCCAACGCATAGTTTAAATGTGGAAATATTCACCAATGCCTGGAAAAATTCTGCAGATTTGCAATTTTTTCAGGGATAAGAGAATTCGTCTGCACCAATTGTTCCAGCAAACATGGAGACTACTGTACTGTACAGTACTTTTGGGTAATTTATGTAAGGAATTTCTGCTGAACAGCTAACCATCTACAAATCTTAATGTACAGCATATTAACGAGTACAGTACTCAAAGGGTTAAAGGCAAATGCTCATAAAAAACCCAGCAGCAGATAAATACAGTACAGTACATATTTGGAGGTGATGGAGTATGAGCACAAAATATTCTCCTAATGAGAGAACATATACAATTCAGTTAATGAGAATTTTACCATAACATGATAGTCGACAATAGGTTCATCATCTGTTTCTCGATAAGTAGCTTCAAGTAGGACTGTAATTGTTCCAGAGGCTTCTGAGTTTCCAGTGCTTGAAGTCCCATTTTCACTGGCTTGCTGTGAGGGATGTTTGCTTAAGGGACTGCTGGGGTTGTCAGAGGAGGACAGAAAGAGGGTCCACCGCTGAAGATCCACACATTGCTGCAAAATATGTGAAATGAGAAATAAGCAAACTAGATTTACAACAGAGCATACACTAATCTTATTGCTGCTGCACATGCATAAGACTCAAGTTTGGGTACCAAAAAATCTCTGAATGGTCACCCTTCTAAAATATTACTTGCTGTATTATCCAATAACTCTTGTCCATCAATAAGCATAATACTGAATAGGAAATTTTGCTTATTGGTTGTTGCTACCAAGTGTTAGTATGCATTAGCAGTAGGGCCTTAGCCAGGACCAGCCACCCTTCCCTAACCAGTATCACAAATACTACCATCTATACCATTTATTATAACAGACAAAAAAAAACTTGAATCAAATCTTAATGATCTTATCTTTAATTACATTAGATTTGATTTTGTTCATTCATGTCATCAACATACAGTACGGTAAATGGTTTGAGCTCACCTTGTTTACAAAGTCATGAAACTAGTGGTAATATCTATTTCACTTTATTTTTATAACTGATCAATTTTTCTATGTTGTTTTGAAAGAAGATTTTTCTTCTATGTAATAACAGATAAGTGAATGTTTACTAATAGGTAAGTTTTTCAGTGTATTGTACACTGTACCTATGATACTTTATTAGTTTTTCAACTTACTTGTTCCTTTTATTTATTATCAAATTCATTAATAAACAGAACTTTAATCTCTTATCATTATTCAATTTCCTGTTGATACATATTAATAAAAAATCATATGATATGACTGGCTTTCAGCTGAGGAGGATGGCTACATGTTATAACTAAACTTACCTTCAGCAGACTTGTACTGTATTCAACTTACTTTGTACATAAAGCTGTGATACATCAGTAAAGTAAAATGTTATACAGTAAACCATTAATAACTTGAAATTTGGTAACTCAAAATGGCAGTAAAATATTAAACTGTAAATTATTTTTTAATTACTTTTTACATAAAAAATATTTTTTGTATAACACAATATTCCAAGATATAAAAAAAATAATAATGCAGTACTGTACTGATAAATAAATAATAATTTAATTATGGCATTGTCATTTGCCAATAGTTTCACTTCACACGGGACAAGAGCCCACGAACAGCTGACATCCCCCACACCACTCCCAACTCCCTCCCTTTCCCCCTCCCCTGCTGCATGATAATTCCCATACACGTAATAATATTTATTCCCTTTATATTTTTGCTTTATAATTTTTTTGGCACATTCTGTATGAAAGATTGTGCTTGTAACAGTAAAAAAAAAAAATTACTTATGTCTAACCGAAATTACGAGCTGAAAAGAATATGCTCTGGGTGCTATCTTTGGTTCAGTGAACACTTCCCAGGCATTCTCTGGTAAAGTTGGTGCTCAAAGTGCTTACTGAGTACTGTACTGTACTACTGCAGTGAGCCATCCATCACCTCTGTCACCTACCACATGGCACCAAAAGCTTGAATTATCAACATCCTTTGCCTACAATGAACCAAGGCATGCTTCCGAGAAGAAGGTAAAGTTTGGGTTTTGAGGCAAAGGCAAAAGAGGCGAGCAAGCACAGGGGCCAGAATTTCAGCACACTCCCTCAGAACATGAGGGGGTATTCCGCCTGGTCCATGCGTCTTACTCCCATCCATCCTGGATAACACACTAGCAACCCTACGAGTGGAGATTATAGGAAAGTGCATAGGTTCAGTAGGAGGAGCAAGAGTAGGAGGGGTAGAGTTGGAAGGGAATAAGGTGCCAAAGAGATTGGCTTTATCAGGGGGAGAGTTGGCTATAGAGTTACCAGGTCAGAAGAGAGGAGGAAAAGAGGAAGTACAGAAGTTATTACAGGTGTTTTTGGTTAAGGATCAGATGGAATTACTAAAAGATGAGTTAGTTAGGTAAGCGGTCTTTCTTTCTATAAAATTCTGCTTGGCCCTACGAAGAATAGCCTTACAACGATTCCTAGAAGTAATGAAAGAGGAGTGGGTAACAGGAGAAGGAGATACGTAGTTTCATAACTTAACATGCCCTATCTCTCTCCTTACATACAAGAGAACAGGAGCGATGAAACCATGATTGTAAAATGAAACTTATTTTTTCGCCCCCTAGGCCCCATTGTGGGTCGATGATCTGTGCCCGGGTGAGCTATTCCCTGTAAAAAAAAAAAAACACCAAGTACAGTGGTCCCTCGGTTAACGAACGCCTCGGTTAACAAAATTTCGGTTAACGAACTGCCTCCCATAAGATTATTAAATTCGGTTAACGAACAAAAATTCGGTTAACGAATTTCTTACGAACCGACCTCAACATGTTTTCGCTTGCACTGGCCGGTCAACCAGCTTTAGTATTAGACCACCAACACATTAATCGGTTCTAGGGCTTAAATTCCTTACTATTTTAGGAAATATCAAGAAGTTTATACTACTGTATTCAATAATTTTAAAAGTTTAATATTCAATTTTTTAGTCATTTTAACAATTATTGAACATAATTGAAGGTAAAGTGACTAGTTTAATGCGCGGCATCCAGCCTCTTAACACAGCAAACAGGCGTTAGTCTCTCTCTGTTTTCACTGGAGGCAACATCTTGCTTGAGACTCTCTTCAACTAAATGCTTTTTTCTGTGTTTCCAAGCAAATTATTGGCCATTTTGAAATATATTTTACATATTGACAATATATAATGCAGTGCAGTGTTGATTTAAAGAAAATAATCTTGAAATACACCAAGAGAACTAAAATTTTATGGGTGAAATGGTGCCATGGGGTGACTTCTCTTCCACCCTAATGCCTTCTCTTCTTCCTTCTCCTCCACCCCCATTCTAATTCCCATCATCATCATCATCATCATCATCCAGGAGCCTTCTACATACACACCTCAAAGTAAGCGAACTTTTCTACCATTTTTGTTGAATTTAGGCAATTTTCGGTGAGCTGGAACCAATTACCCAAAAACCCATTGAAACAATGGTTTCGGTTAACGAATTTTTCGGTTAACGAACAACCTGCTGGAACGGATTGTGTTCGTTAACCGAGGGACCACTGTATAACCCCAGTAATGTTGTCAGCACATACCGAGGCATCCCGAGTGGAAAAGTAACATTCATCCCAGGGAAAGTCGGAGATGAATTCTCGAAAGGATTGCCAGTTTGCCTTCCGATAGTGCCATAGTTGGCGTTTAGAGGGGGGTGGGGAAGGTGGTCGTGCCCAGTTTAATTTAATAGAAATAAGATTGTGATCAGAAGACATTAAGGGGGCAGAAATTGAGTATGAATAGTGTGAGGGGTCAGAGGTAAAACAAAGATCAAGAATGTTTGTAAGTTGATTGTGTCAATCTGGAACAAGTGTAGGGTGTTTAATTATTTGTTCCAGATCATTAAGTGAGGAAAAAGAGAGTGCCTCAGATGTTGATAAATAAACAACAATATCATTTATTAAATGATAATACACTAAAATATTATTAATTTGGGTGCTGAAGATACAGTAGATGTTGTGATGAGCATGAGAGATGGAGAGCACTGCTAATATGGTGAGGGAGCTAGGATGATCAGCTGTTTGTGCTTTGTAAACAACAGACAGATTATTTAATACGACGCAATGACTCATCGGGGTTAAGCGTGGGATTTCTTTTTCGGGAAAGTTTATTATTTTTTAATAATAATAATATCAACCCGGCACCAAATGAACCTAAACAATATGGGAAATTATGGCGAAATTGTATAAAGACACAATAAGTCCTGGGCTACGAACCAGCCGAATCGGGCAATTACGGTAGGCCACATAGGAGCAGTAATATCTTCAGTACCATTACTGAGGCCTCTACAGCAGCTCATTATGAGGTAAGAAAGGTACACTTTATGTACATAATTAACACTGCTAATTTTTGGGCTCCCATAATGTTGATATTATAAATATGGTTGGGATAAATTACAAGTACAGTATACAGTAGTACATATATTCTTTCCAGTCATAGGTTGTGAAAGGGAAACCTAATATTCAGTATAAATGCATGCTTCATTCACAGCATTGTGTGTCAGGCGTGTGTGTGTGTGTGTGTGTGTGTGTGTGTGTGTGTGTGTGTGTGTGTGCGTGTGCTTGCACGTGTGTGCATGCACGTGTGTGTGTGTGTGTGCACGTGTGTGTGTGTGTGTTGATGGCACAGTGGTGGTGATATGGGTCACGTGGTGCAGGCCACTTCCCTAACATCACACCACATTTACTTGCTTTCTCATTTAATTTAATTTTTCTTGAAACATAATACAACTGTATAATATAACTAAGTAACTGTGTAGTGTTCAGAGGGCTTAAATACAGTTTTGGGCTCCATTTATGATTTTTTTCTTTTTGGTCCCTAAATTAGGGTATGATATTACAGGTAGGATATTAAAGAATAATATTTGCAAAATTTTACATTCGCAAATGTCCCAGGAACCTATCTCTTGCAAATGTTGAGGCTCTGATGTATAAGCACAGAAACGTTGCCACACACTAGCCTGCCCTACAGTACTGTTCACTGCTTACTGTCCTGCTCAGAAGGGGATACTCTCAGATGTCTGTGTCAGCAATTCAGCATCATCTGACACTACGAAAAAATACCCCTCCCCCCCCCTTTTTTTTTCATATACCAAAGCACCTAGAATAAAAATAATTCTGATAAAAGCAAATTTTCGTAAATCAATGTTACATAAATCGAAGCACTCCTGTATAGTGTACCGGTAATTGACATCCACTATAGTGAAGGGGTTAAGAGTCAAGACAGCTGAAGCTATTACATTTCAATTAGCACAAGTGTTTGAGTATTTCACACTTGTTCAAATGGGGAACAATTCTTGAAAACTCTTATGCAACAAATCGAACAAAAAAATTATCCAGTTGCACCCATAAACTAACCTTGGGGTCGATGATAACTGCCTGCTTATTGTTGTCGCGCCATAGTTGTTGCCCCAAGGTGCCTTCACTGCTGTTCTGACAAAATGGAGAGGTGCCACATGGCTCATTCACTGATACCCCACCTGTCCAAGAGAGAAGCACTAATGTTACAATGGCAATCCTCTCCTCTCAGTTCCTGCAAATTAATCTCACCAAAGGAGGGGGAAGATTAAACTGGTTATTCATTTCTTCCCTTCATTTATGACTTTGCAGAGTCAATAAGTAACCTGTGAGATAGTGAACTAGTTAGGAATGGGATGGAAGATGTCTTTTAACAGGAGAGTTCACTGTTGGCACTCCAAGAGATCACTCAAATGTTATAAAAAGAAAGGTTATTCACCCTGCTATACTGTACTTCTTACAGCTACAGAAGTAACTGAGCTCATCAGAAAGGTGACACTGATATTCAGGCAGTAAAGTAGTGTCTGTCAACCAAAATCTTTCTATAAAATTGATAAATATATAATGTGGCTACTACTGTATCATAAATGTATGTCTAAGGAAAACATGTAATAAACCACATTAATTGTGTGTTTGGTTATACAGTCAACCCTCGCTTTACGCGGTCCCACATTCCGCGTTTCCACGTTTACGCGGTACCCTGCCGAAACCGGAATGCTCACATTCCGCGGTGCGTGTACCCCTTTAAGCGGAGAGCGGCTGGCGAGCCGCGCCATTTTTGGATCCAAACCTCCCGCCATCTCTCCCGCCATCTCCCGCCATCCGCCATGTTGTGTAAGCGGCGCGAGCAGGGTGCGCACAAGGTCGCCCAGTCATCAAAACATTACCGAGTTCTTCACCCGCCACCCACCACAGCCGGCCCAAGTCAGTGATAGTGATAATGATAGTGAGGATATGGACTTATATGGACTTTGAGGGGTTTGACAAAGAGGCCCTGCAAGCCTCTGTGGTGGATAGTGATACAATTGATACAAGTGATACAGGTGAGGGCCAATAATCTGCCCTCTGCCTCGGATCCCCGTGTGCCCAGCCATCTTTTCTACTAATGTAAGTGTTAAAAAACCTAATGTTATTGATATTTCTCTTAATTATTAAGCATACCATCATAAAATTGCTTAACTTTGCTTCACCGAGGTTGAATTAACGCGTAAAGTGTGCTATACTGTATTATTAGTTCCTGTAAAATAACTGTACAGTGAACCCCCACTTTACGCGGTTAATTCAACCCACGGCGGCCCACATAAAGTGAGAAACGCTTAAAGTGAACAACATAACATATGGGATTAATTGAAATAGAGACCGGGCCGACCCCCAAACTCCACTTTTTCCCGACACAATACGTACGTTGCAGTAAAAATAACTTCTTAATTTTATGATGGTATGCACACACAATTAATAATTAAGAAAAATATCAATAATATTAGGTTTTTTAACACTTACATTAGTAGAAAAGATGGCTGGGCACACGGGGATGGGGGGTTGGTTCCGAGGCAGAGGGCAGGCTACTGGCCCTCAGGTGAGTCTTCATCGGTGTCATCCACACTTACTAGTGCCTCCCTGACAAATCCCTCAAAGTCATCATCACTGTCTCTACCTCTGTCACTATCACTGGCTTGGGCTGGCTGTGGTGGGTTGCAGGCGAAGAACTCTGTTATGCTTTGCTGACGGCTGGTGTTTATGTTGTCGTGATAAACCTTGATGTAGGGCTCCATAGTCTGCAACAGCTGGGTAGTGAAGATTTCATACCTGTTTGCGTCAGGGTCGTCGGAAAGGAGGAGCTTGGCTTTCTCGATACACTCGATGGCACCCCTAACATTACTATGGGATAAGCGGCGTTCTTAATGGGATGACGCACCACCTGCCTCTTCACTGACGTCATCATCATCTACCATGTCGTCGGTAGTCACATCAGGATCCCTTATCACCTCCAGGATGTCGTCGTTGGTGGTCTCAGAGAAGCCTGCAGCTGTAACACTCTGAGCTGCTTCTCTGGCAAGGTCCACTGCTACTGCAACAGTCTGAACCTCACCAGTCGCAGATTTACTCTGCCTAACGGCCGGAATGCCTTGCAACACATGTCTCCATGCGTGACGAACAGTTGCTACAGACAGCTGATCCCATGCCTCCACCAAGAAGTCCACAGCTTTCTTGACATTGAATGTTCACCAGAATTGTTTTAAAAGTACTTGTTGCTCTGCCAACTGTTGATCCTCGTCGTCTTCGCTCTTGCTATCGGTGTTGGTGTCACTCAGGTTACGCAACTCTTCCTTGGTGTTGGTGTAGTCGTTCAGGAGCTTGAATTTTTTAGTAGAGAATGCAGCTTTTACATTACAGATTAACTCTTGGTCCATGGGCTGTAATATAGACGTAGTGTTGGGAGGAAGGAAGACCACTTTTACGTTGGGGTGACGATCTAACAGTAGGGGCGAGTGTCCTGGTGCGTTGTCCAGCAGCAACAAAATCTTGAATGGCACATTCTGTTGCTCACAGAATTTCTTCACAACGGGAACAAAACAGTCATCAAACCAGGAGAGGGACAGTGTAGAGAACATCCACGCCTTACGTGCGGTCAGCCAGTGGACATTTAGCTTGGTCATGTCCATGCTCTTGTAGGCGTGCAGCTTGCGTGCTGTGTGGATCACCGATAACTTGAGCTTACAGGTACCGGAGGCATTGGTGGTAAACAGGACGGTGATGCGCTCCTTCTGCAAGTTCCGGCCCCGACACTTGCTGGCATTCTTCACAACGAAGGTCTTGGAAAGTAGTTTTTTTCCAAAAAAGACCAGATTTGTCCATGTTAAACACCTGGTCGTCGGTGTACTGTCCTTCCTCCATAATTTCACGTAAAAACGGAGGAAATTCCCTAGCCGCAACACGGTCAGCACTAGCTTCTTCACCACCAATGTTGATATTGGTGATCTTGTTTCTCTTCTTAAACCTCTGTAACCACCCAGAGGAAGCATTAAAGGGTTTGGGCTCTGTAATTCCCATCTTTCGTGACACTGCAGCATACAGTTCACGTGCGTACTCCTTAACTGAGCGCGTGTCCACCGCCATGTTCCGTCGCGCCTGACGCACCAAGTAGCTCACAAGTAATTTTTCTGTCTTGAGAAGCACCTGGTTGTGGAAATACTTGATCATAGAAGCACCTGTAGACTTTGTGATGTTCATGTGCTCCTTTATCTTGGCTGCATCCTTCTTAATTGTCCTGATCGTAGACTCGTTAACACCATGCTGGCACGCGAGATCAACCTGTCTTGTTCCTTTCTCCAACTCTTGTATGATCTTATACTTAATTTCGTAGCTTCAGGAACGCCGTGTCTTCTTTGGCTTAAGGCGGCTGGGTCCAGGTAAGGAAAGGTTTCTCTCTGGGGGCGGTGGTCCGGCGGAAGCCATTTTACAGAACAATGGATTCACGTATACACGGTGTGGCCTGGAGGGATGAAACTGCCGCGGCTAGGTCAAGCGTCGTCTTTCCTCCCTCCCTCCCGCGGGTGGACACATCATATTTCTTTAAACCAATCACAGCTAGCAGCGGAGGGAGGTAAGGATGCATGGCCCAATCACAGTCCGATACGTCATATGACGTCACTGATAACGCAACAAAGACACACACTGCGCAACCTACTCGCACCGTTTACACAACATGGCGGATGGCGGGAGAGATGGCGGGAGGTTTGGATCCAAAAATGGCGCGGCTCGCCAGCCGCTCTCAGCGTAAAGGGGTACACGCACCGCGGAAAGTGAGCATTCCAGTTTCGGCAGGGTACCGCGTAAAATTGGAAACGCGTAAAGTGGAACCGCGTAAAGCGAGGGTTGACTATATTAACTTATAACGCTCTCAATGTTATTAAGTCAACAAACAAGCTTCCAATGTGTCATCATTCTCCTTCAATCACCAAATAACTTATTCCTCAAACTCATGTGAAGACAAGGAGATTCATCACTCACACAACCATACACAAGGCCACTAAGCCAGTTGCCTAATTGTCCATTATCTACCAATTTAATCTCATGCAATATGTGGAAAATTTAATAAAAAAAAATTCTATGGGGACATTTTTACTTGTGTACAAAGAAATGTATATTCCCTTATGTCTTTGCCCTTACGACAATTATTTCATTCACCTGTATTGTGTATATTTTTTGTGTGCGTGTAGACACACACAAAACACATACCAATATAGTAATGGGAAAATACTCTCAAATAATCAGAAACAAATTTATTAAAAATGTGAGTCTACCCTCAAGTCTACTCCATGCTTTGTTATTAATAAAGAACGGAGTAGATTTGAGGGTAGACGGTCACTTTTTTAATAAATTTATTTCTGATAATTTGTGAGAGTATTTTCCAATTATTATTTATTTGTATGTAAAGGAAATTACCGTCTCTTGAACAAATGGCTCCCTGTCCCGGCCACAAAAATGACGGCAACTTTAAAACTACAAGCAGACATTCTTGGGTACATCCAGGGTGGTATCAGCGAATAATAGAGGACCGCGAAATTAAATTCTGCGAATTATTCAGTAGTACTGTCTAAGTAATATCTCCATTAGCCAGGATCCCTCTTCACCCGAAAATTTTGGGGATGGGGGATATTTTTCCAGCTTTGAGAGATGAAATAATGCATCATTCTGGAAAATTACAGTACAGGAGCTCCTCTACTTACGAACGAGTTACGTTCCTGAGGCTTGTTTGTAAGTCCAATAGTTTGTAAGTCCAACTTTACTCTTGTAGATACCAAACATATTGTAAAAAATAAAAGATTATGGATATTTAGCACAGCTATACCCTTTAATACAGCCTTAAAACCTGGCTCACTCTTCTCCTCTTAGGTAATGTTTGTTCTATCTGGAATTTTCTTCAAAATAATCCAGTCTCATCCACATTAAGCACCTGTTCTGGCAGGTAAACCCCCTCAGTGATGATGTTTGTATCTCTGAAAGTTTGTAAGTTGAACGTTCTTAAATAGAGGAGCAGCTGTACTCGGAAACATTCCAGGAATGGGAGATTTCTTTCCGGTTTGAGAGATGATGTAATGCGCAATTTCTGGAACTTCTTAGAACAGTTTCTGGTACGCATACCCAGAAAATTCCGGGGATGAGGGACATTTTTCCAGCTCTGAGAGAGTCATCTCGTTGCCCAGAAATCTCTCATTCCCAGAAGTGCTCTGCACCAATTCTTCTGGTAATTAAGCAATATGAAGCAAGAAAAACTTCTCCACATGATCTTGGTCTCACTACTTCAACTGTGCACACGATTCTGAAGGAAAGTGCTCATATTAAAGAACATGTGAAAGCCTCAACACCTTTAAAATGTACTGTTATAACAAAGCAGTGACTACGTGTTCTTTGTGAAATGGAAAACCTTACAATATGGATGGAGGTCCAAATGCAATGCCATGTACTGCTTAGCAGTATGACCAAACAAACTAAGGCTAGAAACCTGTTTGACGATTTAAAAGTGAGAGCATGGTGCTACTGAATCCAGTTATGTTGTGAGTCATAGATGGTTTACTAGATTTAAGGCTTGTGTTAACTTCCAGTATGAAATTGAGTGGTAAAGCTGTTAGTGCAGATACAGTTGCAGCTGAAGCTTACCTTGAAGTGTTAAAAAAAAATAATTGAAAAAGGTAGTTATAAGGCAGAACAAGTGTTTTAATGCTAATGAAACTGAATTGTTTTGGATGAAAATGCCAGAGCAAACATATATTTCTAAGGAAAGAAAGACAATGCCAGGATTTAAGGCTGCAAAGGATCCCCTTACACTTCTGCTTGGGGGTAATGCAGCCAGGAATTACAAATTGAAACCTCAGCTGGTTTACCATTCAGAAAATCCCCAAGCCTTTAAGAGCTGTTTACTTTTGGAGCAATCGAAAGGCATGGGTCACAGAAGTTATTTTTGAAGATTGGTTTATCCATTGTTTTATTCTTGAAGTGGAAAAATATTGCAGACATAAAGACATATTCACAATTTTGCTGGTCATTGATAATGCTCCAGGTCACTCAACACACTTAAATGGCTTCCACCCAGATGTCAAGATTGTGTTTCTCCCTCCCAATACAACATCAATCCTCCAACCCATAGACCCACTGCAAATTTTAAGGCCTATTATCTAAGGACGCCTTTCGCCACAGCAATAGCGGCCACAGAGGAAAAGAGCGTCCGGACTTTACGACAGTTTTGGAAGAGTTACAACATCTACCAAGCCATCCAGAACATCGGTAAGGGCTGGGCTGAAGTTACCCAAACCTGTATTATGTGGTTTAGAACAGTGGTTCTTAACCTTTTTAGGGTCATGCCCCCTATAGCAGTTGGTTCTCATCTCCACGCCCCCCTCCTTCCTTCATATAAAATTCTAAATCTAAAAATTATCGTTTCTTCATCAAATTATCGTACACTTCCCGACATTATTACTACCTCCTTAATTCAGTCACTTTTAGTGGAATTTCACATTTTGATTGACGTAGTTACCATTTACGACATTTTGAAGTATTTGTGAGGAGCGAGACCCCCCCCACAAAAATCCAAACGAGGACATACACACACCTGTTAAGGCCATTCCTTATTTTTGCTCTGGGTTCGCGCCCACCCTGGAAATTACTCACGCCCTCCTAGGGGAGCATGCCCCTCCCCCCAGTTAAGAACAGCTAGTTCAGAAGATGTGTCCCCAGTTCATACATGGTTTCAGAGGTTTCGAAATCTATGAGGAGGCGGCAGACACATTTGCAAAACTTGCTCAGGAGCTTGAACTGGAGGTAAATGCTAATGATGTGGAAGAACTTATCGAGTCACATGGAGCTGAGCTCTCAAATGAGCACTTGATGAAGTTGGAAACAACAAGGATAGTTGAGAAGAAAGCAGGTGAGGATTCTGATGAACCAGTTGAAGAGCCACAATGTTTCCTCACCAAGGAGATGGCAACAACATTCCGTGAGATTGCTTCAGGGCTATAATGGTTTGAGAAAATGGGCCCAAATGCCTCAAGAATTTTTAAATTGTATAGACAAATTAAGGAGTCACTGGCCTGTTATAGAACTATCTATCATGAGAAGAGAAAAGCCACCATCCCAGTCATCACTTGATAAGTTTATAAGGAAGGTTGAGAGGCCTGTGCCTTCCACATCTCCACAACCTTCCATCTCCTCAGCACCTGATCCTCAATATGTGGAACCTGCCCATGATGTGACACCTGTTTCCTCTCCTTCCTCATCTAGCAATTAAATCCATCTTCCATCACCAAAACCCCACCTTCTGATGAGCAAGCAAGCACCACTATTTAAGGCAAATAATATTTATATCCACTAATTTTGTAAAAGGTAATTATTTTTTATTTGAGCTCCATGTTCAATACAGTACAGGGTACAGTACAAATTTACCTTATGGAAGGTTCATTTTTGGTTTATGCAAAATTCAGCTTATGGATCTTATGCTCAACTGGTCCTTTTGACATCCACACACCAAATGGGATCATATTGAATAAGACAGTTTTATTTGCAATAATATTATCCTACAAAATCTGATGGAGAGTACTGTACTGTACTGTATATCCTACCATTAAACATATCAAGCCATACTGCAATAGGTGGGCTCTGCCAGACTTTACAAGTCACTCACTGATACCCAAGAGGTCATAAAAGAATCTTTGCATATCAAGAAACAAATACAATCACTAAACAATTTTCACAATAAAAATAGTGGATAGACAAACTAATTCTTATGTTATTCACAAAACATCAAAAGAATGCTCTCCTGGCATCTTCTTTATTTATACAATGGTGTTAAATGCACATGATACAATGAAGCAAATTTAAAGATCTGACCTGTGTCTGCAGCCACAATGTCTTGTACCAAGAGTGATGAGTGAGGCTGTGACAGTGCTTTTGCCATGAGCATTACAGCCTCGCTGTGCCGCCAGCCTCGCAGCATACGGCACAGCAGCCCACACATGGACAACATTTTGATGTATGGTGGAAGCTAGTGGACACTCATCTGTTGATTTCACATTGCCTCAGTCACTGAAAATATTATAAAGGTTAGTTATTACTGCACTGTCACAAAAATTCTGAGGTGAGATATAGTACCCTATTTTATGGCATATAAGATGCACCCCCAATTCAGTAAAGAATATTTAGGGAAAAAAAACTTGTGTGTATTTTTCTCCTGAAGCCATAGTTTTCTTCAAATAATATTTAACAGTAAATGGGAGGAAAAATACCAATACCTAATTAGAATACAGTAGAACAAAAAATATTGTACTGTATTGTCATTTGGCTCCTGAACTACAAAATTTTTCAATCGTTTCACTACACACAGGAGACCTTAAAATATTTTTTTGTACATTCTGTATGTAGGATTGAGTGTGCATGTAACACTGAAAAATATATATTAAGTACAGAGTATATCTACCCAAAATCACAACTTGAAAAATAACCATAATATAGCTCACAGCTCAGCCTATAAAATACTGAAAAAAAAGCAATAAGATACTGAAAAAATGCAAGGAATATTATCACAGATGTAAGGTAACAGCCTACACAGTAAGTCAAAGGGCTGAAGCAAACTCACAACTCCCGGTTCCTCATTTCCCAGCATTCATAATCCACATCACCTACCTTTCTTATATTATTTAACATTTGTGCTACTTCAAATAACATTAGCATACAATCTAGATAAAAAAATAAATAAATAAAAAGCAGCTATAACCATTAAGGGAAATCCAAATGAAAGCTTAACACAACTCCCATTTGAATAGACAATGGCTGCTTGGCCACAACACTCGCCATACAAAAGCAGCCCAGCTGAGAGACTACCTCTGCTGACTCCCTCCTCCCCTTTTCAGCCTGCTACTTCTTTTTATTTTGCACACTATGTATGTAGGATTGTGTGTGCATATAACCAAGTAGAGAAAATTAAGAAAAAAGTTACGTGTACCTACCTGAAATTATCAGTTGAAAAATAACCATACAGTAATACCTCACCTGGTAATGAGAAGGCTAGGGGGTTGTGGCTAAAGTAAAGAGTGTAACTTGGCAACACCAACCATGTTAACAGATGCAAATGGGAAAAAATTATCTGTAAATCCTCACTTTTATCAGGTACTTGTAGATTTAAAGATAAATGTTGCAGGCAAGACATTAATAGCCAGTAACACTTGTAGGAGTTCAGAAACAGGTACTGCTTAGCTCTGAAAAGTTGCTTGCCTACCCGATGGATGTTAATCTTGCCTTTATAGTTACAATAATTATTTTTTTAATTAATTAAAAGTGATAATATGTTTATGCCTTTTGCAAGCCACTCTCGCAGTCCAAATCTCACCCTTAGACCGGCCGATGACACAATCTGCTTCATCACCCATTCATCTGTCAATGACGCTATCTGTGTCATCCAAAATGCAGAGTTATCATTTCATCATTTACAACTTACTGGTAAAATTATACAAGTTTTTTCATCATTCTTTATTGAGTTAAAAATATAAACTATCTAATTTAGTGATAAAGAACCAAATAGTTGTATAATGATATGGGATGGCTGAATGAGTGTGAAAAACTATCTTACACACCGGATTCCCACATGAGTGGTCTGGCCAGTGTGAGAGCTCAGAGTCACAGGAAATATCTTGCTCCGGCCCGTGTAGTGGAGCAAATAGTGTCATCAGCCGGCAAAAGGGTTAAGTAAACAATAATACAGTATTTTTAACTTTGGAGTTGGGCTATGAAGAACTTAGCCTACTGGACATAGCAACTATGGGATTCATTAGCCTATGGAAGACCGCACTTAAAATATAGGGTGCGGGCTGATTTTTTTAAGCCCTTTTGGGGAAAAAATAAGTGCATCCTATACAGGTACTCCCCGACTTATGACCCACTCGACTTATGTCCACCCGCACTTACGACCTGCCTCAGTCGTACCAAAATTTGGTCAAATTATGTATTTATGAGTCAGTACACAGACAAAATTTTCATCTGTAATTCACTTTAAAATGGCTGGCAAGCTTAAAAGTGAGAGTTTTGTGGTGCTGAGAAGAAAAAGAGACCCCCATTTTAGATTTTCTATGTGTTATTTAAGCATTTCCGACTTATGACCATTTCGACTTACGACCTGGATGTCGGTCCCTAACCCCGTCGTAAAATATATTAATTAATGAATATAATAATATATATGATTTAAAATCTTTTATAACAGGCAAATTTATTTAGAAAGAAAAGCATAGTGGAGAATAAAATATTATTATGAGTACTAAAGAGACATTTAACCAACCACCACACTCACAAGGATAATAATATTGTAGTAAATAACTAATTTGAAGATCTGGAGAAAGCACATGGAACAGTTCCACCCACATGAATAAAAACACACCTCACAGAAGGTAATCACAAAGAGTGTACTGTAGTAATGGTGGTTATTTACAAAACATTGAAACGGAGGACTGATACTGAAATCCCATTCTAAATCTGAACTTAGCAACTCGCAGAATCCCACAAAGTCAATGGAATGTAAAATGCAAGAAATCCCTAGAACAGAGGCAGCTAAGACTAATTCATTAATTAATAATTACTTATACCTTCTTGTTGAAACTAAGGCCCTTAATCCTTATGTGCTGGCTGACCCCACATGAGAAGTCTCTGTTTATGACCTTATAGCTACCCATCCTAACTGGCTCACTACATCTAAGGGACAAAATTTCAGGCACCCCGAGATCTAGATCAAGAATGAGAATTTGAGAAATTAGATACCCGGTAGGCCTTCTCCTCACAACCTAAGATCAATGGACAATAACATAAGTTGACCAGTTGTTTATGATTAAGTTATGTGGCAAAGTGGCCCCCCCCCCCTCCCTTCATGTCAACTTGATCAGTGTGAGATGAGTAAAACAGTCATTCTGTATTGTGGATGTTGAAATCACCCAACATCATGAGTTGTGTGATGGGATCAGAGTTATGTATATTTTCAATGAAAGTAACAGACAGCCTGGACACAGGAGATTGACAGAGAAGAGTGTACAGTACAGTGTCTTATAGTAAAATTACAGTACAGGTGTAAGAAATAAATATTGTGTTAGATTATTTGGCAAAACATCCATGTTCTTCCTTATCATTAACCTTAAATAAAGTGTCTAAAAAATAGGTCATTACCTTCAAAATACCGACTGCAAATTTACTAACAATATATGTGTACTTATGTGTATAAAATTCTGAAACAATGTCAGAAATTCATTAAACTTATAACCAAAAGGGACTCAGGTTAGATTTTCTTTCCCAAACTCACGCAATGACCATCTGTGCCTGATAAGGTTTAGCAGAACCCATACACTAGCCAGAGGTCCATGAGCTCTACACCAGCAAACGAGGCTTGACAGAAGAAGCTACAAAAGTGATCATAGCCATTGCATTACTGATGACCAAGTTCTACCCCACACCGTTGCCTAACATAACTGTCAGATGTAGGACACTTCAAACTGTATAGCTTCACTATGTATAATGTTAATCAAAATTAAATATCCGAATCAATAAGCTAAATTTTTACATGTACGTATAACACAATTTTACTAGATACTGCACTTAAACCATTATTTATTGTAGTACTGTACATGGCATTCACTAAATACAGTGCTGGGATTTCATTTAATAATCCATTTCATATCTTCAAGAACTAGGAACCCTGTGCAATTTGCAATACATTTCCGAAGGAAAATTGCATACTGGTTGAGCCCTAAATAGATGCAGTCACATACCCAGAGAAGCAAATTTTCCTCAGCCAAAAATATAGGTCATGAAGAGACACCTACAGACAGATGTAAATCAGGGAAAGTCATTTTTAAACTCAACTTGGCATCCCCAAGGAGGATAATCACAATATATAAGAACATTCAAGCTGTAATGGTTCTCCCTGTAGAGCACAAATATTAAAAGATATACAACTGTATCATCTGCCCTACTGACAATCAATATAATTGACTCGGTTCATATACAGTATAAAACAGAAATAAATTAATTGTGATAAATGTAGCAAAGAAGAAAAACATAAAAAGAAGTGAGAGCATATTCTCTCTCTCTCTCCCTCCCTAACAGGCTTCCATGGGGAGATTAAGGCAAAACATAACTTCCTGATACAAACAACAAGTAAATAATTATTACATGTGCAAACACTTCCAGGATATTGTATTAATTACTAAAAAAAAATAAATTAATTTATTGAATAAAGAATACAAAACACATAAATAAATAACTCATCACAATAGCTAATGGGGAATAAGGATACAAATTTAATATGCTGTATTCTGCAAATTCAATGAGAGTTAGACATTTTATCAATACAGTACCTGTACTGTATGTACAATGAAAGACAAAAGTCGTGCCGTGAAATTTGGTGAAAACATTTGCCGATGGGGCTAAACTTTTGGTGTACTCTGCCTTGTGGCAGGGCTCTCATAATGTTTCACGAGTTATATTTAATCTTCGGACAAAACCGCGACACGCCTTTTATCTTAGATTGTACAAAAAATGGAGGATCGACTTACAAACTTCCAATTTACGGTTGAAGCAAGATCTATGAGGCATACCACAGCCAAGCACCTCACAGGCAAACTCTTGTCACTACCCATGAGATGTACAATGCTTGTCAACAAGACACATTATCCTAATGACCAGTGGCGGCTCATCGGTAGGCACTGTGGAACTGCGGCACCCCCTATTTCACCAGATATATATGTATTATATAATATAATATATCATATATGTTTATTTAGTTATACGTGTACAAGATATTTAAAAATATTATCAATAATCCTTTAACTTAATGTCAATGGCCAACCTCTAATTCCGAGAAAACAGCAAGAATCCCTGTATGTGGAACAGTCTTACTCGACAGTTCCAATAACGGGCGTTTGCTTTGTTGCACGCATGTGCGCATGTCCTGGAGGCAAGCGGGGGCGAGCACTGTGGATCACACATTGCCGATCTGGTTATCAGTGTGGGAGGTAGTGTTTATGCATCATTCTGTGTGGTGCTTACGCGCC